GATACAAACCAAACATCCAGAATGCTCAAGCTATTTGAATAGCAATAATTCTAATTCTTTTTTTTTTTGTCCTTCATAGATGAAAAAAAGTTGCAGATCTCTCCCTACCCCTCTGCCCTACTTATGGGGACTTAAGACTGATGTAATGCACGCACCACCTATGCTCAGAGTATCTTCTTTGACAGTGTTAGATCTAGACTGTGCTGGTCACAAGACCACATACAGAGGGCAGAGTGAGCTCTGCTGGGGAGCAGGGATGGAAGCATGATCTTACATTATGACTCTTGTACCCATGAGTGACAAGTACAGGCAACTGTGTCTTCCATTGAATTGATTCCATTTTCTATGGCTGGTTGTAGAGAGGATAAAGTGCTTCTAGTACTCTGAGTGGTCATTTTCCTGCAATTGGCCAATGTGCTGAGAGAACCCAGGACCTGTAGTACTTTGGACTAAGTGCCTGGATGTACAGGGGCCCAGTTCTGAGCAGCAGTAATGCTCAAGCAATGCTGGATCCATATAAAGTGGTGGCTTCAGGGGTCACCTGTGCACAGTAGGTGCACATGCCTATGATCCTGGCTGGCTGGGAAGTCCAAGCTCAGGGTGTCAGCATGGAAGGAGCTCTTTCTGGTTCTTCACTGAGGGGATGAGGAGCTACAAAAGGAAGTAAGTTCTCTGCTGTTAGTTCCTACAGGGCAAAATCCCATTATGAGGACTCCACCATCATGACCTAACTACCTTCCAAAGCCCCATCTCCAAATACTATCACATTAGAGATTAGGGCTTCAACATATGAATACTGAGGGGGACACAAACATTCAGTCCATAGTAGCCTCCATTAGATATTGCAGAGGATTAGACATCACTCTGGGATCCCAGTTAGCAAAAAGTGTCACTGCTCACTGGATACAGCCTCTGAGAACTTGGAAGAGTAGTAAGGAATGGAGTGGGTGGGCCAAAGAGTTCTTCAGGGCCAGGTTGGAAGCATTCTAAAAAACTGAGTTTTTGTCTGCTTGGATCAGCAAAAAAAAAAAGTCTTGCTTTCCAATTGTATGACAACAAACCACAGGATAGGCAAATCTCAGAGAGCAGGGATTTGGTAAACTGAAATTCTTGGAACAGTAGCCTGCGTAAGGCCTCTCTGCCGCAGTGGCACCCGGGTTTTCAGGTTAGAGAGTCTCCACAGACTTTGGCTTGCATTGCCCAGAGTTGGTCATGCTACCCCACCATCTACCTTTCGCCTACTTCACCCCAGCACGATGACCTGTAGGATGTACGGGGCCTAGCCTTGCCTTCAGAGCCCTGGCCTTAGGCAGGCCCAGCCTTGTTTTGCAACCAGAAGAACCTTAAAATTAGTTTGTCCCTCAGCAATCTTGGGGACCAACTTCTTTACCCTGACCTTTCTCTCTCCATTGACTTGTGGGTTCCAACCTGAGGGTAGAGGCAATTCCAGCTTCCTTTTCTGGTCGCTTGTGCCTGGATCACAGCTGTAGCTTAACATGAGGGAAATTTATAGCCAGGTTCCCCCTTTCCCAACTGCGGGAGGGCCTAGGAGAAGAAAGCTCAGGGGCTGGGGTCTAGAAAAGGTGAGTTTGAGGTAGGAGTCGGAGATAGTACAGATATAAGTTCAAAGGGGAGAAGAGCTGGGGAAGGTGAGGCCTAGGGGATGGGGGGTTTAGAAGGTAAACTTAGAGGGAGAGGGAGTGAGGACCAGGACAGACTCTCAGGCACTCAGCCTGGCACCTACTTGACTGGTGCAACCTAGGACCTTGTTGGATAGCTTTTCTGTCCCCAGTCAGGGGGGAAGGGTGGAAACTAGTTTGTTTTATCCCTGCAGGTAGCTAGGCACATGTACTTCTCCCTAACCTTGTTTCCTCAGACTGGGAAAGCTCAGAAATCAGGAAACTCCGCTGTGCACCAAATGTGGGAGACTTTGACAAGGCTTCCAAGTGAACTCTAGCAAGCCCACCAGCAGGGGGCTTTGTTGATTATATTCCAGAATGTCACCACAGATGTGGTACAGGCTTGCACTCTCTTCTGGGGGGAGTTTATGGGAGGGGAGTCTGAGGTAGTCAAGACAGTGAATGAGTTTTTTTTTTTTTTTTTGATAGCAGATTTTCAGAAAGAACACTGCTGTCTGGTGAGGCAGGTTGCAACTGAGGAAGGCGCAACCCGAGAGTGCAAGGTGACAGTCTCTCAGGGAGCTGCGGAGGGAGGGGATTTGGCAGCTTTGCTCTTGGGACAGGCACTGTTTTCTTCTCAATTACCGTTCAGCTTTTGCAGGTGTGCTTGTTAGAAATGTCCAAAGTTCAATAGCATGTACCAATTTGGGGTGCATTAATGAGGATTATTTTTTAATCGTGCACATGTGTGTGCACACTCACACCCTCCCCAAGATGGAAGAGCCTATCACTATCCACAATAGTTGGTCACTTGTTTCCTCTTAGTGAGCCCTGGATCTTTCCAAACCCTTGCCCCCCAGAAGAGTGCATCTTGCCATTTTTCAGTTGAGGTAGATGAAAGCCTAAGCAGGTATCCTGGCCTTCCTTGGGTTATCCTTAGGTGAGGATTTGATCCCCAATGGGATGTTGCCAGGAATCAGAGTAATACAAAGATGGTATTTCTTTTCCTTTTTTCCTTATTTTGGAGAGGTTTTTGCTATAGGGTGAATGTGCTCACCAGAAGGACAGAGAGAAAAAGAGAGAAATCTCAAGGGGGATGGCCATACTGCAATCCCTTCTCCTCCATTCTCCTCTCGGGATCTTGGGCACGCACGCACACGCACCTGGCGTGAGTTTAAGTCACTGGGTCTGGGTCCAGGACTTGAACCATGGTCAACTACATGGGAGTCCAGCAACATAGCCATTACGCCAACTGGCAGTCCCCAAAGATTTCATGCAGGCAGGGCTGGAGAAACTGAGAGAAAGCAGAAGAAACAAGAGGTCTACTCTCAGCTCCAGAAATGGTCCCAGAGCCCTCTTGGCCTGTCTGATTTGGAGAGAGAGCTGATAATCTGGGGCAGGAACTGCTCTTCTGCTTTTCTGCTTTCCAGCACTCTCCTGGGAGGAGACAAGCAGTCTGATTTGCTTTGGAAAATATTTCCCTTAGATATGGGCAACAGGCTGTGGCAAGAAGGGAAACTTACTGATGGCATCCAGCAGCACCAATGTGGCAGAAGCCCTGACGGCTTTTCAGTCTCTAGAGCACCACCTGAGCCCAGGTTCAGCATCCTACAACTATTCAGCCCAGAAAGGGTGACCAGTCAAGTGGACTCTTTGGATGGACTCTGGGACTGTTCTCAATGTCCATGTTTAGGTTTGCTTCCTGAGGAGCTTCCTACCTCTCCTAGTTAAGCTGGAAACATCGTGTTTGAGCCTGGAAGAGCTGGGGGGGGGGGGGTCACGCCACCCAGGTCACACAAGCCTGA